GCTGCACCGGGCACGGCCGGGCGGGAGGAGGGCGCGGGCAGGGGCTCCCTGGGGCGGCGGAGATCGGGGCGCCCCCTCCCCTGGGGACTCGCGGCCTCCCGGTTTACTTCTGTCTTAATTGCGGGCCACCCAAGCCGCGGGGCTGGGGGCTCCGGGGCGGCGCCCCTTCCCGGTGGCGTCCGGAGCCTCCCTCGAACCCGAGTCGGCGCCTGCGCGTTCCCAGCTCATCCCTGCGGTTCCCCGCTGCGCGCCCTGCACCGGCCGGGTAGGGAGTGCGGGTGCGGCGGGGACGGGAGGGAAGTCGGAGGGGATGAAAATGCGCCTCGATCCCAAGATGCGGGGGTTAGGTGTGGGAGAGGCAGGGAGGCTGAGGGAGACTTCTGGGCGGAGGCTTTGGAGAGGAGGAAGATACTCGGGATTAAGTATACTTGGGGTCTGGGAGAGCGAAGGACCTGGAAAAGAAATTTGAAGATACGTGGGCAAGGGGAGGGCCCAAGCCCCCAATCTGAGAAGAGGAAACGGAGCTGAAGGAATAGGGAGAGGATCCGGGACCCGAGCCTGAAAATCCGCGGCTGTTGCGAGGGGAGAGGTGGCGGCGGCGGCGGTGGGCTGGGGAACCGGCTCAGGAGGGCGTCAGGGCTGCTCGCTTAGGGCAGCTCCCCGCCTCGCGCCAAGCCACGTGCCCCGCCGAATGCCCCTCAGCCCCTGCCGCATCTCCCTGGACTGTCCTTCTCTTTCCACGTGGGAAGTAAGGATCACATCACTGTGCATTGAAACTGAGCACCTAAAAGGAACCAGGCACACTCCTGAGAACTTTACATGTGTTCTCTCATTTAATCCTCATGGAAACCATGAGGTAGGCTCTATGGACATCCCCATTTACAGATGAGGAGACTGAGGCACAGTGAGGGGAGGTCACAGAAGAGGGTGGCAGAGCTGGCGTTTGACCTCAGGCCAGTCTGTTTAGCTCCACGGGTTCTTGACCAACATATTCGGTGGACTGGCAAAGAGATGGGGAGCCGGAGAGACGACAGGGTACCCCAGAACTGGCAGTGTCAAGGGTGTCAAATATTTCAACTTCGAACACTTCGGGTGATAAGAAAATAAACCAGAACCGACGTTTCGATCAGCGTTATAGTTTTTGGCCCTTTCACACGCTCGCTTGATGCCCACAGTGAACCAGCCCTCACTCACAGTGAGGTGACAGATAATCAGGCCCTTCTGTGGGTCAGGCAGGCCCTGTGTTAATACCTTTCATGGATCAACTTCCTCGGATCCTTGTTATATGGAAACAGCCACAGAGAGGTTACCACGCAAATGGTCACACAGCCTGGAATTGGGGAGGCTGGATTTGAATCCAGACAGTTGCTTCCAGAGCTCTTGCTCCTAAAGACCGTGTGACACTGTGCATTGTGCCCATTTTACAGATGCCCAAACTGAGTGCTTCTCCAGAAGTCCATGGCTTGGAAGGGAGACACACAAGGGGAGACTACTGATGGCAAAGCCCATGCTTGAGAGGGTCCGTCATTTATTCAAAGATTCCAATAGATTGTGAAATTTAAAATTGAAGTTCCACTTTTTATCATTTTTAAGATGTACATTTGTACATCTCTGAAATTGTAACGCATCTTACAATGGATGACAGAGTTGTTTCTTTCTCAGAGGTACACAAAATAGTGGTCCTCCTAGTGTCGATGGCACCTTTGGTTTGATGAATGACGGCGGAGCCAGGGTTCCCCAAATGACTTTTCTGGGTGTCTCTCTCTTCTGTTCCACAGGCTCCTCTCTGCCTCAATTGCTCCATCCTCCCTGGAGACACGTCCCCAGGGCGTTCAAGGATCCCAGTGCCCTGCAATGGCAGTAGGGCCTGGGGGGTCTTTGGCCCCGAGGATTTGAACCTGACTGATGAGGAGCTGAAACTCAAGTACCTGGGGCCCCAGCAGACAGAGCTGTTCACACCCATCTGTGTCACGTACCTGCTGATCTTCGTGGTGGGCGCCGTGGGCAACGGGCTGACCTGCACGGTCATCCTGCGCCACAAGGCCATGCACACGCCCACCAACTACTACCTCTTCAGCCTAGCCGTGTCGGACCTGCTGGTGCTGCTGGTGGGCCTGCCTCTGGAGCTCTATGAGATGTGGTCTAACTACCCCTTCCTGCTGGGCGCTGGCGGCTGCTACTTCCGCACGCTGCTCTTCGAGACAGTCTGCCTGGCCTCTGTGCTCAATGTCACTGCCCTGAGTGTGGAGCGCTACGTGGCCGTGGTGCACCCGCTGCAGGCCAGGTCCATGGTGACTCGGACCCGCGTGCGCCGTGTGCTCGGGGTCGTCTGGGGCCTCGCCGTGCTCTGCTCTCTGCCCAACACCAGCCTGCACGGCGTCCAGCAGCTGGACGTGCCCTGCCGGGGCCCGGTGCCCGGCTCAGCCGTGTGCACCCTGGTCCGCCCACGGGCCCTCTACAACCTGGTCGTGCAGACCACCACTCTGCTCTTCTTCTGCCTGCCCATGGCCACCATCAGTGTCCTTTACCTGCTCATTGGGCTGCGGCTGCGGCGTGACAGGCTACTGCTGCTCAGGCAGGAGGCCGAGGGCAGGGCCAGGTTCAGCAACACCTGCAGGCTCCAGCGGCTGCAGGATAGGGGTCGGACACAGGTGACCAAGATGCTGTGTAAGTGTTGCTGCTGGGAAGAGGGGCTGAGCCCAGCACTTGGTGAGGCTGGGGCTTCCAGGACCTAGGGCAAGGGGCTGAGGGTCTGGATTTATGGTGGAGGCTGAGTGTGAGGCTTGGAGTAACCCCCTGCCCTGTGTGTGTGTGTGTGTGTGTGTGTGTGTGTGTGTGTGTGCATGTGCATGCATGTATACTCTTTTTAGATTACCCTGTGAGAAACTCATGCCAAAGATAAATGTTAATGGTTCATGGCAGGATCTGCTACATAATTTGCCAGGCCCAGTGCAAAATGAAAAGTCAGGGTCCCTTGTTCAAAAATTATTAAGAATGTCGAGACAGCAACAGTAGAGCACTAAAGAAGAGCATTGGCCCCTTCTAAGCTTGGGGCCCTATGCAAAGGCACAGGTGGCACATCCATGAAGCCAGCCCTGGCTCCTGGAACCAAACCACAGACAGGGCAGGGGCATGTGGCTGGGCTCCAGGATAACAGAGCTGATTGTGGGATCTGTGCCCTCCAGGTCTCTTATCTCTTCTCCTAAACATGTCTTGGCTCTGTACTTCCCTACAGCAGCCTGGAGGCATGGCCACAGAGTTCCCTCTCCTGAGGAACTGACCCTCTTCCTTTAGTGGCTACTGAAAAGTCCCAGGGAAGAATTCTGATTGGTGGGCTTAGGTCATGGCCCACCCCCTGGGCCAGAGTGGCAGTATGCTGAGGTGAGCAGCCCCCACAGAACCACACTGTGGGATCTGGGGAGAGCAAGCCTCCCAAAAGAAGAGAAAGAGGGTACTGGAATGGCAAGATGATGAATTTCCTCTGTCTATGTCTGCGGTTCCCTGGGGACCACAGGAGTGACAATGGTCTGAAGGAGGCTCATCAGGAGGTGTGTGTGTGATGGTCGGGGTGCAGAGCCCAGGAGAAGCAGGGCAGAGATGTGGATTGGGGCTGGCCAGGGCATGCCCAGCTGGATCTTCCTGTGGTCTAGACCTGGCTCTTTTTCAAAAACAGTGGCCCTGGGGAAGCAAAACAAACTGATACTAAGCCAATCATTGATTTCCTCCCCATCCTGCCCCCCTCAGCAGGACCTGAATCAGGTAGGGGGGGTAATCCAGGGCAGGAAGGGCTAGTGGGGACTTGGCCAAAGCCATGGGATTATAGCCAGCTAACTGGGCACTGCCTCGTTCCCAGAGATAGACACGTTCCTCTCGCCCCCCAGGAACAGTGCCCCAGAGTATGGGGTCACTTGTGCAGCCCCCTAAGATGGGGCCAACTCCAGAGCTCTGTGCTTGCCTCCCAGCTCTGCACTGTGAAGCCTACACTACAGGCCAAAAGGCCCCCCTCACCCTGCCCCTGCCTCCTACTCCCCTGCCCCACAGGGGCCGACTGCTCAGCTGGGACGGCTCTCACCCTGGGAGCTGGGGTGATTCCTAAGGCTGCCTTGCTTGCTGGCCTGGGGTTCTGGCTTTCTTCTTTCCCTCTCTCTGTCCCCATCTTCATCTTCTGAGGGCCTACTGTGCACCAGGCTCTGTGCTGGGGACATTGTAAGTGACATCCTGATTGAAATCCAGGATCATGAGGAAAACCACATTTTCCTCATTTCAGAGGGGTGTGATGGGAAAGACACTGCAGAAGAAATATCGGAGGTCAGAGAAGCAAACACGAGAAACAAGACAAAAATCAAGGCAGGCCTGGTGGCCGAGACCCAAGAAGGGCATGGCTGGTTCAGACGAGGGCTGGAGGGAAGCTTGGGGGAAGAGTGAGGGCTTGGCCAGCCTGTCCTGCCTTTGACTGGGGTGAGGAGGGGCTCTCAAGTAAAGCATCAGTAGGCATGACCCCCAAGTGTTCACCTAGAGTGGGTCTTACCCCACAGTCTGTCACTCTGGGGCTCAGCTAAGGGTCAGCCAGTTCCAGATTCCATGGTGAGAGAATCAGAGTGGGCCAGCTTGACTCAGGTGTCCACGCCTGATCCAGTCGGCTGTGGCTGGGGGCAGGGCACACACCCACTGCCCAGTCAGTGACAGTGGTGAGAGCAGCCTCAACGGAAGGGGTGCGGCCAGGGCAGGCAAACTTCCGGAAACTTCCATATGGACAATGGGCATGGGTGGCCTGTGGGACAGGAGAGGAGGTGAGAATGGCAGAGCAGACTGAAGCCCGGGGAAGGGAGGCGATTGAGAGGGTCCCGGCGGGCACCCAAGTCTCCCTCTCTACCCCCGCAGTTGTGCTGGTCGTGGTGTTTGGGATCTGCTGGGCCCCGTTCCACATTGACCGCCTGATGTGGAGCTTCGTGTCCCAGTGGACGGAGAGCCTGCTCCTGGCCTTCCAGTACGTGCACGTTGTCTCCGGCGTCTTCTTCTACCTCAGCTCCGCCGCCAACCCCGTGCTCTACAGCTTCATGTCCAGCCGGTTCCGGGACACCTTCCAGGAAGCCCTGTGCCTGGGGACCCGGTGCCACGGCCACAGATCCCACCGCGGCTCCCACAGCCTCAGCAGGGTGACCACGGGCAGCACCCTGTGTGACATGGGCTCCCCGGGCAGCAGGGCCTACCCTCTGGCTGAGAAAGTTGGCCCAGAGGGACAGCAAGAGACTGACCCCTCCTGAGTGGGGCCCCAAAGCAGTGTCACCTGGAGTGGCCAGAGCGCCAGGCACAGCTCTGGGAGCCACACCAGCCTTCCTCTGCAGGGATGTCTTCATGACCTGTCCCCCTTTGTGCCCTGTCCCACTTCAGCCTAGAAACTCTGACCAGCCCCTCAGTGACTCCTGCCCCAACCCATGCATTGGAAGGGACATAAAGTTGCTGTCCGCCCTCCAGACCCCCAGGTCCCAGTTCAAGTCCTCCCCCTGCAGGAACAGCACAGTTGGTCAATTGGGCACAGCAAGCCTCCATCTGGGAACTCCCCCACCCTCACCCCCATTTTCTGCAATGTTCCCGGGGCCCTACCTTTCTTTCTCATTTCTTGTTGAGCTTCTGCAGGTTCTGGCCCATTCTGTCCCTCTCTAGCTCTTGGCCTGCACCCGGGACCCTCCTCTGACCTGACCCCTCCCTGCCCCCAGTCTGCTCATTCTGCCCAGGGATCTCCTCTGCCTGGTGGTGCTGCTGGGTGGCAGGGGTGCCAGGGATCCAGGGGACCTGGTTTCAATCTCAGCCCGGCTACCACCACCTTGCTGTGTGGCACCAAGCAAATGGCCTCACCTTTCCAGGCCTTGGTCCCATCCCGTTTGCAAAATGAAAGGGGCCCTGACAACCTAAGTGTCAGGCTTTGCACTTTAGCTGTGGTTTTCTGTGTGTGCATAAGTCACTGCTTGTAACAAAAACAACTGATACCCTCAGATTAACAAGGCGGAAATTACTCTCTACTTCCTCACCACCCCCACCCCCTACTCCCTCCCTGATCTCCACGTGCACCCCCCACCCCCCACCCCAGAGCCATTCAGGACATGTTCTTTGCTTGTCCTAGAACAGCTGTGAGCAGGGGTCCCTGCCTGCCTCCGTCCTCACCTCTGCACAGATGGGCTTGGGAGCCTGAGGTGAGCAGAGCACTGGGCCTGGCCGGCCAGAGGATTTCTGGGGGCAAGAGACATGGGTCAACCAAGGGCAAGGAGTGTCCCTGTGAAGACAGTTCTGCTTGGGAGTCAGTGAGGTGAGAAGAGAGATAGGACAAGTAAGTCCTGAAGCGAAGTCCCATCCCGAATCCCCATGGGCCAACTTGGTGTTCAGTCAGGACTCAGTGGTTGGAACTTGTCCCTGGACGCTGTCCTCCTCCTGAGAGGAGACTGCAGTAGCAGGAACCCTGGCCACCCTGGCGGGGAGCTGCAGGGTGCCTGGGGTGAAGAAGGCAGTGTGCCGCGGGGGCTGCTGGTCCGAGCCCTCCCTGAAACCCTCCCTAGTTCAGACCCCAGGTTCCCCGCCTGGAAAGTGGAGGAGACCATAGAGTGCTGCACATAACGTCCTGGAGTTTTTGAGATTCAATTATAAAAATAACAAATGCTCATTGTAGAAAATTTGAAAAGTACAAATAAGCAAAAATGAAAACAATTAAAAACCACCCTTGTCGTGACTGGGGGAAGGGGGAAATGGAGAATTGTTTAACGGGTACAGAGTTTCAGTTTTGCAAGATGAAAAAGTTTGGAGATTGGTTGCACAGCGGTGTGAATGTGCTTAAACACTGAACTGTACACTTAAATGGTTAAGATGGTAAATTGTATGTTATGTATATTTTACCACAATTTTTTTAGAGAAAGAATTAAGTCTAAAGGAAAAGAAAAAAATAAAACCACCCATAACTTTACTCTCCAGAGGTAACCATCGTATATAAGATAAGAGGGGGGATGGGGATTCTTCTGAGAAAGGAGCTCGTGAAGCGGCTGTGCAGGGCTGTGATGCCCAATGTCCCCTCTGAAATGAGCTCCGAGGGGGCCCTGGGCTGGCGTGTGGGGAGCAGCCAGACCCCAAACTTCAGGCTGGAGCCTGCAGTTGTGCCCAAAGACTAACTGGACTCCCAGGGGCCTCTCATAAGTGACAGAGACGACTCATGCTCCTGAGGAACTTTGGTCAGCGTGTATTCTGGATGGGCCTACTATGTGCAATGGGCAGACTGGGGAAGGTGGGGCAGCTCTGGGCTGAGCCCTTGAGAAAACCGGATGGAGGTGGAAAGGCCAGTCAGCAAGATCCCATCCTCTCAGAAGCCGTATCCCCTGCAGCTTGCTCTTCTGCACTGGTCACGGTCGGGGCAGCACTCTCCTGAGGGCCCAGTGCCACTCCCAGGCCAGGAGTCCTCAACTCTTTATAAGTGTCTGGCTCATCTGGGACTCGAGTCACCCACATCCATCCTCCTGTCTGCTCCCCTCCTGCCGTTATCCCGGGCGACGTCGAAGTCCACGTGGATGGCCCACTGCTGCCCTGCTGTCAGCTCCTGATCTTTCCTGCAGCTCTGAGACCTCTCCTCCACGCCAGCCTCTTAGCCCTCGGTCACAGCCTCACTCCCAGGACCTCCAGGAGTTTTTCCATTTCTAGGAATGTGAAGTCTTGATCATGATTGCCTCCTTCCTGCTCTCTTACTCTGTTATTCCCATGATAGATTTAGTCTTCAACCTCATCTAGCCTTCCTGGTTCTCGACTGCTCTTTCTCCCAACCCATCAGCTTCCTCTGACCTTCACCTCCTTCCTGATGGGTCCTGGATCCCACAGTCATCACACACAACCCTCTCTGCCAGTATTTCTGAGGGCCAAGGTGAACACACTGGAATCACCCTCTCTCAGAAAAAAGTTTATTTTCTTTGGGAATTGAAAGTCCAAGATTAGTCTCATCAATAAACAAACCTGCATTTGCCCACCCTTCCTTCTGTTCAGTATCTGCTTGGGAAATGTAGAGTACCCAGCACTTCACGTCTGTTCTTACATAATCAGATGGTATTTCCAAATGAATCCTGACATCTGGGAGCCCATCTCGTTTTGTACACTTCTCAGAGTCTCCCGCCTTCCCCAGTCTTGTCTTCTAATGGATCCACCAAGTTCTCTTTGTCCCAAGTTTTCCTTGTAGAGAGGAGTTGCCTTTTGGGGGGCTCCCTAGCGTTTGAACTCCCTTTCCATTGGGAGTGTGTGAATCTTGGTGGGAGACCAAGCCCAGGCTCCCACTACAGAAGCTGAAAGGGTTTCGGACACTCTCCACCACTGATGTCACTGTGTGGCCCATGACTTGCACTCGGCCAGCGGGATGACCTGACATGGCACTCCTATCTGGGGCAAGTGATACTAAGACCCATGACAGCAGGGGCAGCCGTGTCCAGGGCAGCAGTGCTAACAGCCCCAGTGCAGGCTGCCCCTGGGGCTTCTGCTGTTCAGCATCCCTTGGCTCCTGCCCGTTTTCTCCACCAGGTTTTCCAGCCTTCCTGTTGATGTTCTGAACTGCTGAGAGCCTTTCAATAAATTCCCTTTCTGCTTGAGTTGGCCAGAGTGGCTTGCTGCTGTCTGCTACCAAGAACCTTAACAGATCCATCCATCCGTGGGTTTGAAGGTTACACCTTCTGTTTGTTCTACTTGTGGTTATCTTTATACATTTCTAACATAAGCAGATATTATCACTGATTTTTTTAAAACCCCAAACTACAGTCTATAATACTTAATCATCACTCTCATGTTCTCTCACCCTGTTTTTAAAAGATCTTTTTTTTTTTAAGAGGCAAGAGAAGGAGGACAAATTTAAGGAATTGGATCCTAGAAACATATTTACTAACAGTCTAAACATCTTCAGCACAAGAAAAGAACTTTAGTGTTCTTCTACTGACAAGCAGTCAGGTATGGAGGTGGAGCAAGGACTGGAATCGGCTGCCCTGGTTTGAATCCTGGCTCAGCTACTAACTACCCTAAAAGCCAGAGTGGCCTTAGGCCAAAGTCAGACTGACTGAGAGTTACTGACTTTTCTAAAGAAAGAATGTGCAACCTGCGTGCACACAAATGAGAGAGTCAGAGGCCAACACTGACAGCAGCATCCTTCCAAACAGTGTCTAGGTTCATAAATCGACAAGGTTTAGTCTGAGGATGGTAGTTACTCTCCAGGGTAAATGTCCCTTTGTGTGGCCTCTCTAAATGCAACATCCCAACCTTACCCTCTTGCAAGCTTATGCACGGGGCAGGGCAGGACAATTGAGGGGCTGTTTAGGAACAGAGGCCAAGGCCCAGGTGAGGGACAGTGGGCATTCAGGGAAGGCTATACCTGGCTGGGTAAGAGTGCCCTGGCTCAGGAGAGGTGGCCACAGGTTGGGGCTAAAGCTGGAGGGCCTGGAAGCTGCTGCCACATGCTCTGGAACATCTACAAGAGTACCTGGGATCGTTTAATCTAATATTCAAGTACCTTTATCAGCTCTAAGCAACGTGGGCATCATTCACTCAGCTAACATCTATTGAGCAGCGTGTGCCAGGCACTGTACAAGGCTAGAAAGGGGGGCATACAAACATACTGGCATGTAAGGGCTCTGACAGCTGGAACTCTGGGGGCACAGAAGAGAGGTACCTGTCCCAGTGGAGGGAAGGCTTCCAGGAGGAGGCAATGCTGCTCAAGACTCAAAGTCCTGGGAGAAGGGGTCCAACTGGCCTCTGAGCTTTGCTCAGGGGAGGGTGGAGCATTTTTAATGACAGTTCCACCAACACTGAATCCAGGGGAGGAGGTGGGAGACCCTAAAGGGAACGAGGGCTGTCAGGAGGAGGAATGGACACTGGACAGGCCAAAACAAGGCAAAACAGACCATGGTCCACGTTCATTGCTCTCATTCCCTGGACTTCCCTGGCTGCCCTCCTGGAATTGGGATCTGGAACCTTCTCCCTGTCTGTCTCACCTTCATTAGACGTGCACAGGCAGGATTTCTTTTGTTTCCATTTTAGTTAATTGGAAAAAAATAAAGTACACACAATGAAAATAATTACTTCTATTCCCAACACTAAATTAACCACTGTTAACATTTTGGCAATACGAGTACTATCATTTTCCCACACATATCCCCTCCCCCCATTAATGAATAATAGATTGTTTTCAATCATTTGCTTTATAAAACAACTGCCTAGAGCCATCTGGTAGAAGGTCGATGGTTATAATGGATGGATGAAGCTGACAACACCCCAACCAGCTGATCACTTTTAACATCACTGAAAGTGGGACAGCTGGACGTTAAGCGCCTCCTAGAGGAATGCAACAGAAACACACGGCACCATCCGTGAAGTCTTCCTGCAAAAAAACAGCCTGAGTCTAACGTAGCCTCTAGATACAACTACCAATTTACACTACCAATTTACAAGAACCCGGAGGATGGAGGAATACGTTCAAGA